GGCGACGTGGCCGCGGCGGGGGCGGGGGCGGAGTGCCAAAGACGTCACTTGTCACTTTGAGGAAGTCAGCCACCAGGTAGCGCTGCGAGTCAGCCGGGCGCCTCGTCGCGCGGGCGGCGCAACCACGGGGTGTGTCACCACAGGCGACACGGGTGACGTCAGGCCACTGGTTGGGAGCCTCCGAGCCTTTGATTCATCATTTCCAACCCTAACCCCTGACTCTTAAACCCTGAAAAATAATAAGGACGCCAACCTTGAGCACGAGGTATCCCAGGGCTTTTCTGTTTTCGTTGTAGCAGGCGAGGTCGCCTGCAGCGCAGTGCCTGCACTTCTTGCAGGATCGCCGGCACCTTCCCAGGTGTCCGCTGTCGCCGACCCTGGGGAGGTGTGTGTGTGTGTGTGTGTGTGTGTGTGTGTGTGTGTGTGGGTGCGTGCGCGTGCGCGTGCGTGCGTGTGCGTGTGTCCGTGGGTGTGCGTGTGTGTGACGTGCATGTTTGAGGGAGAGAGAGAGAGAGAGTGTGTGTGTTTCTGTGTGTTGGAAGGGCAATTGAGGGCGAGGTTGTGCATGAGTGGATGAGACTTGAGCGCCGGTTTGACGTGCGCCGATGGCCCATCGGCCGCCCCGTCATTCTACCAGGTTTCCAAGCAGACGCGCGCCACAGGCGCGGAATCTCGGGGGCACCCCCAACCCTGAGCCCAAAACCCTGCCGCTGCAGCGGCAGGGATTGAAACCGGGCCCTGAGGCCCTCGCCGCCGGCGGAATTCGCCGATGGCCGAACGGCGGCCTCCACAGCACCCAAAGACGAGCCCTCGAAACACCCCTAAGGGGCGCCGGCAAAGGCCCCAGCCCTCAAAAGCCCCAGCTGCAGCAAGCGATGGCCTCTCCATCAGCGGGACGGCGCCCAAAATCAACACCCCACAAATCATGAAGGGATCAACCGATGGCACGTCAAGGCGTATGTGGATGGCGCGCCGCCGTCAAAGGGGCGGGAGCGGCCTGACGTGTAACCTGCGATTATTATTGTCTCACATGTATGCGGCGTTCCGCGAGCACTCCCCCACGGCCGCCCACGCCTCGCAGCTCTCATGGTCGTCCTCGCACTTCCCGGGGTCCTGCAGCTTCTCGGAAGCTCCCTGTGCCTTGGCGTAATCCGCGGCTGCGGCGGCGCGGCGGCGGCGCGACCGGGATGCAAGATGATGTCAGCACGAGGAATTTTCCGGCGCCCGGGATTTCCCGTTGGATGACATGAGCGAAAGGCGGGGGCCGCGAGTGTGGGGGCGCGCGCCGGGCCGGCGGCGGAGGTGGCGCCCTTGGTCCGGCGGTCCCCAGCAAGCGCTGTAGACCCTGCACGGCAGGTGGCCTTTTCTGACTGCACACACTCACGCACTCACTCACACACATACACACACACACACACACACATAAACACACACACACACACACACACAACATCTCTCTCTCTCTCTCACTCTCTCCCTGCAAACAGACACTCGTCGTCACACTCCCTCTTACACACACTCCCTGGCACACATCGATACCGCACACCGCCCCCACTCACGCCTGAAGGCCTTTGCGTGGATCCACTTTGTGGCGGTCCACTTGACGCCCTTGATGACGGGGCAGCCCGTGTGCATAGAGGACACGTCCAGGGTGTGGGCATCGGGCTTGATCGACCAGAACAGGAGCGCGTCGCCCTGTTTATTGATGCGTTGGTTGGTTGACTGGCTGGGTGGTTGGGTGGTTGAACTGATTTACTGATTGGTTGGTGGGTTGATCGGTTTGCTGTGTTTCAGCGATGTTTCGTGGTCCCTCTTGTTGTGAGGTGCGTGGGTGTTCGGGAGGGGGGGGAGGGGGAGGCCGTGCCGTGGCTTTCAAATGCCGAGGAAGGGCTGTGTTTCATTGTGACCACTTCCGCGCTGGCCGGGGTGCTGGGGTCAAGCCGAGCGTGCTGTCAGCATCAGCCTGCGGAAGCTGTGCGGGCATCACCCGCCAGCAGCCAGCAAGTGAATGCCACGTGCCATTTCGTACGTCGAAAGCCTCTCAAGACATCAGCCCGACCCTCAACCCTAAGGGCACGCCGCCGCCGAGGTTCTCGGAGGCGGGCTGCGCGAGCCGGCCCACGTGGGGGCGCCCAGTAATCAGCACGGCCCGGCCGGGGCGGGGGTCGTTCGCCCACGGCGCGGCTGGGGGGGGGGGGTCGTGCACCCACCAGCTTGGGTTTGAAGGCCACGCCGCCCTCAGTGCAGTCTGAGAAGGGGCCGTGCGCCTTTGGTAGGTCGGGATGGGCCCACCTGTGCGTGTGTGTGTGCGTGTGCGTGTGTGTCAGTGTGTGTGTGTGTGTGTGTGTACGAGAGAGAAAGAGAGAGTGTGTGTGTTGTTCATGCGGGGTTCCAACGATGAAAAAACTTGCTACAGTGGGATCAAGGCTTGTTTGGCGGCGCGGTGGGTCCAGGGGGCGCTGAAGCGAGGCGCCAAGACGGCTGCCACGGCCAGTGGTGGTTGTTTGGTGGGTCTCACCTGTTTGAGTCCGGGAATGCCGTCTCCCCGCCCTCCTCAACGTCTGCAGAGTGAAGTAAAATTTGTGATTGTGCGTGTGTATATGTGAGTAACAGTGTGTTTGTGTGTGTGCACGTATGTGTGTGTGTGTGAGGGGGGCGTGCTGGCGCGTTTGTGAGGCGATGCGCCCCATACAGGATGCGTAAGCAAGCGTGCCGCCGCATGCGTGTGTCGGTCGCAGGTGGACGCTTCACGGGGCTGAGGGAATCCACAATTCACACGCAGATGCAACGGCAGCACGCGCGGGAGGCTGGGGGTCGACAGACCGCCACCACGGCGCCAGCCACACCCGGCCACAAAAGGCCGGGCGTCTTGGCATCCCGGGAGGAAGGGGCGGGCCCCTGCTGCAGGAATCACAAAGAAATAAAAAGGATTGAAAAATTCAATGGCAGATCGCGCCTGAGAGGTACAGCAGCACTGTGGCAACCCTGGGCCCGGCCTGGTCGTCCATAAGGCCGTCAAAGTGCTTCTGAGGGGTTGAGGGTTTGATGGGGTTTCAGGGTGGAAGGCGGAGGGGCGAGTGAGGGCCCAAGGGCGAGCAACAGGTGGTGGCGTGGGTGCGGATTGTGTAGATAGATCCGTGTGCTGGTGCAGAAATGTGTGTGCCCACTCTCGCGCGCGAAGCCGGCGAGGCGCTGCAGGTTGACGGCCCGCGGGTGTCGTGCAGTCGCTGATGGCAGAGTGACGTCATCGACGTACAACGTACCGGCCGCAGTGCGACGCGCGCACGCATGCCGGCCATCCCAACAACGTATGTCGCTCTTCTTTCGTTAGACCCCACACCCCCGGCTGGCGACCCTGGGGCCGTCCCAACGCCGCCCCCGCTGCGCCCCCGGTGACGCCCATGATTACACCCCGGATACGCCCCCGGTTACGCCGCGGGTTACGCCCCTACCTTGTAGTACTGGTCCACGTCGTACCGCAGAATCTGCATGTCCTCCCCATTCACCACGGGAATCCGCACCCAATCCGCCACGCGCGCGTCGACGGCCGCCAAAATCGGGTCGGTCCCGCGCTTCAGGAACGTCCCGTAGCTGCGGTTGGCGGTTGGCGGTTGGCGGTTGGCGGATGGCGGATGGCGGTTGGCGGGTTGGGGTGTGCCCGGAGGTCGCGGCAACGGGGCGACGGCTGCGGCGGCAAGCCCAGAAGCGGGGGGCCCGCCGCCACGCATGGGCAGGCAGGGCGTCCTTGGAGGCAAGGGGCTGAGGGGGCGACGAAAGGCGGCGGCCGGCGCCGGGGCGGGTGCAGTACGGCGGCTCGGCGCCCCGACGTCGGGGGCCCCTCAGAGGGCATCGGGTGTCACCAGAACGACGTCATAGTGACGTCATCGTCGGCACCCGGCCGCTGACGGGCCGCGCCGCACACCTGGTGCGATAGCCGTCCTCCACGCTCTTACCGCCCTCGCCCAAAACGGTGGAGCGGCGCAGCTGCATGTGAGTGAGTGGAACGGGAGAGCAGCAGAGGGCATGGGCGAGCAGGGGTCGTGTTGCGGCGGAGACGACGGGCAGGCAGTCCTAGGGCCGACAGCGGCAGCAAACCCGCGGCGATTATGGGCAGTGCAGCTGCGTGGGAGAGCAGCGGAAAGCACGGCAGTTGCGGAGAGCGGCGTGCCCATCCGCGCCCACTGCCACCACAGCAGCAGAAGCTGTGGCAGCAGCAGCAGCAGCAGCAGCAGCAGCAGCAGCAGCAGCAGCAGCAGCAGCAGCAGCCGTGGCAGCAGCAGCAGCAGCCGCAGCCGCGGCAGCAGCCGCAGCCGCGGCAGCAGCGCCAGCAGCAGCGGCAGCAGCAGCAGCCGCGGCAGCAGCAGCAGCAGCAGCAGCAGCAGCAGCAGCAGCAGCAGCAGCGCCCACCGTGACCGCCGAGAGCTTCCTGAGGTGTCGCGCCTCCGCCTGCGAAAGGAACCCGTGGGCCACAAATGCGCGCGGCTTCCAAGACACGACCTCGACCCTGAAAAGATGAGATCAGATGCGAAAGCAGGTCCCACGGGCCGCCGCGGGGGCGAGGCGCAGGGCGGTTGGATGGGGGGAGCGTGGGAAGGCGGGCGGGCGCGAGAGGGGTCAGGGGTTGCAAGCCGGTCGCCGCCCTGGAGGGCGCAAGACCGGCGGATCTACTGTTGGGAAAAAGGGGGGGAGGGGGCCAGGAGCCGCGAGCCAGGAACGGCCCAGGGGTGGCTGCGAGGTGGGGCATGCGGGGGCGCGAGTGCCGCATCAGCACCGCCCGGGAGCGGCGCGGCACCGCGAGTGGCTCCTGAGGGCGGACCGGGGCGGCGGCCGGACCGGCGCGCCCCTGGCTCGCGCCCCGCGGCGGG